ATTGTTGAATTAACTTTTTAAAGTCGTAGATTATTTCAAATATAAATTTTTTTAAAACTATAGTTTAATCCAAGCAAAAATAATTGTAAAAATTGACTATTCAATGAAAGGGACCCATCGACTTCAGTTATCGTCTCATTAGGTTTGAGGGAAAGTGGTTACTGAGTTATTAAAGTCTATTAGCCACAGCCTACGAATTAAAAATTTAATTAAAAATTAAAGTAATAATGGGTTTGAAGTTTTAATCTTGCATAGAAAGCTTTAACATGGAACGTGTAATACATAAAATATTTCAATTCATGTATATTTAGCTCCCTCTGAGATATATTGCATGAACATGGTCAAGTTTTTACCACAGCAACAAAACTCAGTAAATTATGAAATAAAATGAATAATTAAAATAATATTTTTTAAGAGAACAAAAATATACATGTGTACTACTTTGATGAAAATGTAACGGGAATGCTAATTTAAAATTCTTCTGTAATAGATATGGTCTTCAAATTCACTTCAAACATTTTTACGACTTCCGTAAGCATTTGGAATTACTCAGAGTTTAATTTTGTCTTCTGAAAATAAATGAGTTTTTAATGAGCGAAGAATTTTCATGACATCGATTTTCCGAAATGGCTAATGTTATTGAGAAAAGAAAATGCATTAAATTTTGTTTTCACAATGGAATTTCTGCTGGAATAAATTATTTGAAATGTTACGAGATGCTTTTAAAGACGACTGCTTATTAAAAAAATAGTATTTGTTTGGAATAAAATGGTTGAGAATCTGTTGGAGACGAAGACTATAAAAGATCTGGCTGACCATCTGTCTCAATTAATGGTTAACAAATCGATCAAGACAGGAAATTGATAATCATTGATCTTTTCGACAAAATAAAACTTTCTTGAACAAGTTTCTGTATTATTTGGTTTTAGTCTAGCTAAATTAAGAAAAATAAGACTGCGATGCGTCGCATATTTAATATACAAAGAACTTCAAATTCGTTCTGAAGACAACAGCATTTTCAGTGGGCCTAAAGGATACTTATACCAGCAGTTTTTCTTTAAATAATTTATTACCAATTATGAAACTTGAATCTATGCTTTTGGTACAAAGAAAAAAGAAAAAAAAAAACTCAGTAATTAAGTGAATGGAGCTTGAAAAAAAAAGCAAGGCAGTATCAAAATTGCTCAAAAATCAAGGTAATAAGGCAGTAGACTAATTGTGTGTTTTTAACATTGAATTCTAATCAACAGACCTGATAGTCAATAAAGATTACTGTTTTAGTGTTTCTAGGTTTTTTTTTTGACACGCAAGGTGACACGCTTTTTGTTACTGCTGTTCCTATTAGTCAATTTCTGGCAACGCAGCAACAGATTTTGCTTTAGAATCACCGTATTCTCCTGACATGGCAAAGTGTAACTTTTTTTTGTTAAATTTTTACTGTTTATTATTTCAAGCTGGAATTGCTTCTTCATCGCTTGGTCATCGCTTTGAGTAAATTAAGTAATCGGTAAAATAAAATTCGCTTTGAGCTCTAAATGTCATAGGGTTTTAAGGTATGTTTTGAGGATTGAAAAGAAAAAAAACGTTAGAGAATACTTTGAAAAGAGTATTTTGAAAGTAATAAAAGTTTTATTAATAGGTATCTAATGTTTTACGTCACCATTCGTAGTACTTTTTGATCGCAATTCGTCATACAGCCATATCAGTTGCATTTTAAAATAGTTCTGGAGAGAGTTTTCGGTGAAAAAGGTAATGAAATGTCTGTTCACTGTGCTGATAATTAGAGGAAATTTCAGAAATCAGCAAAGAGCATATTTCAAAATAATACGAAGAAACTATTTGATATATAAATATTTTGGAGCAATAAAGTGAGTTTAGCCCTATATTACTTCCCAAATATTTCTGGTGTCTAATGGGTGTAGTACTGAAACAAAATAAATAAAATTTTCTACATTTTGATTTGTGTTTACATTCTTTATGATTACGTAGTCAAGTTATAGATTTGAAATACTGCAACCAAATAAATCTGCAACTGACCCTAAGTAGAGCTTAGACGTATCTATTAAAACTAAACAATTCATACAATAAGACTCATTAATATTTCTTTCAAAACATATCACTGATATTAACAAATCACTGATTCTTTTAAATATCTACGTAAACAAAAACAGTCTGTTTATTTCCTTTTTGTATGATAAAACTGTTACAATCAACACACTAAGAAAAAACTATTGCCAAAACTACCAGAATGAGGTAAAATGTAACGCCCAGAATATGGTAATTACCATATACAACATCAGTATAACATAGTTTACAATATTAGAAATAGCATTCAAGTGAAGCATTAAAATTTATTTGTTTTTACCTGCTCTGTCTTTAACATAAATAAATAGTTATTAAAAATGAATCTTACATCTTCTGCACATATTTCCATATTTTATAGATTTAAGGTTAAGTAGATTTTGCTGAAAACATGTACCGAAAAAAAAATTCTTGTCAAAACTGCCGGAATATGGTAAAATTTGAGGTGTTTCTGGCTCTATGGGAACACTAAAAAGTACGGTAGTTTTTACTGAAGCACTTAGGCAATGACTTTAGGCAAATTTAACGATAAAATATGTTTTTATTACCGGGCTGTTTTGTAGTTTGTGTGGTAAAATTTGAAAATTTTATTATGATACCTTGGAGCATTACATACAAGCAATTTATTCGGCTAAATTTACTTTTAATTTTTTTATTTTTACTAAAGGCAGTGCAGGCGTACTAAAGGCAGTTTACTTTTACTAATAACAATTATACGACAATTTTAGGAAAGAACCAGAAATTTATTTTAAAAAAATAGTTCTCAGTTTCAAAGAGCAGCAAATTTTTACAAAACAAATATCTAAAATTAGCCATTTTTGCACCTAAAAGGATTTTGCATTCATTCGCATCTAGGATTATAAGTTTTTTTTATAAATAAAAAGTCCAAAGAAGTTGCAATAAAGATTTTTTAGAAGTTTAAGTTTGATTTTAAAACAGATTGCTTGCATTGTAAGAAAATTACATTTAAATATCTACACAATTGTATTTACTTTTATTTTAATCAATACATTTTGTTTAGAGAAAGGGATAGATTAAACGAGGGATAGAAATGGAAGGTAAATAGAAAGTAATTAAAACGGTTAGTAAATTAAGCAAATAAATGATTGTATGAAGGTTTTATTTGAATAGGGATAAAACTCGATATTTAAAAAAATGGAGTGATCCACATTTTCATGTTTATACATGTCATTTCTATCCTATTTTAAAAATAGTACACCCCCAGATTATTTTTGGTAATAAACAAAGGGAATCACCAATCAGACAAGAGAAGAAAAAAAATGCATTAATTACACTTTGAAGTTGATCCACTCTTCAAATAAAGAGTTCATGTCTACGTGAGGGATTTTATTATTTTCTGCTAAAAGTGTTTACTAAAACAATATTTTAATTTAAACTTCTGTTTAGTTTAATCTTCCATTAAAAATTAAAATTTTTTATATTCTTTTTAAGGGATAACTAATATTGGCAAAGACACAAGCATACTGAATGATAGAAATTTTCAAATTCATGCCAATCACGGAATTTTTAATGATTTTTAATGCAACACTACAATTTTTTAAAAATAAAATTTAATTTTAAATTAAAACTAAATCATTCATTAAAATTTTAAATTAAAATTTTAACAAATATAAAAATATCTTTATAAAAAGTTAAGCATAATGATTTATTAAAATCAAAATGTTATTAAAGTGCACTGAATTTCTTAAATTTTAAAAAATATCGAATAATAATTTGAAGTCTATATTTAATATTTCAAATAATTTGTAAGTTAAATTAATTTTTACTGGGAAAAAGTTCTGGTGAAATTAACGTACTTCTGGTAAAAAAAATTAAATCAAATATACCTATTTCCGAGTCAAAAGAACTGATAGTTAAAAATTCATGAAAGATTTTATTTGTATAAAAAATTAAAATTTTTGCTTATACCTATTAACGTTTAAAAACCTAACAGATGGAAAAATTATTCAATTTGAAATCAAAAAATACCACATGGAAAATACCACCTTTTAGCTTCTATTTAAAGATGTTGGGACAACCCTGATACATAACAGCTAAACTACTGATTTAGTTTAGCCAAGTCTAGGTGTTTGTTTATTTACAGACACGTATTTTTCATAGTTTTAAAAATTTGTAAATATTAGCATATGGATTACATAGAAGTCTAATACATAGAATTACATAGAAATCTAAACTGCTTCAAAGTTAGCAAGGGCTTACTAAAGAAAATAGAGATTATCAAATTGAAATTTTTGCGTTATCTCAATTTATTTCAATACTGAAAATTTTGAACTTTTTGGTTCAAATTACCAAATTGTACATTTACTATCAAACAGCGTGGTAAAAAAAACCGTATTTTATTCTTAATTTTTCCAAAAAGTGATTACCAATGCTCTTCGGTAGAAATTACTGTCCTTTTCGATGTTCCCATAGAGTTCGAAACAAGGTAAATTTTACAATATTCTGGTAGGTTTGACCATATTTTTTTCTCATTGAAGAATATTTTTGCATTGAATTTTTCATAATATCAACTGCTTGGAAATGATACATACCATGAAATTTATATTTTATGAGTAATAAATAAGATAATTATAAATTAAAATTAACAAATGAAAGAGGAAATAAAATAAAAAACAAAACTTAATTGATTAAAAAATAAAAACAAAAATCAATTACTAAAAAAATGAAAATTAATTAATAAAAATTAATTAATAAATAAAAAATAAAAATTAATAAATGAAAAATAAAAATGAAAACTGAAATAAACAAATAAAATAAACAAACTAAAAATTAATTAATAAATAAGTAACAAAAAACTGGCGACATTTTGAAAAACTGTCGTGGGAATAAATATTTATGCATACTTCTCATTTTGATTGGAAATTGGATTATTAAATAGTTATGTAATTTGGACTTACTTGGATTCTTCAATTGGATGATACAAGGTTAATAATTTAGGGTGTTTTAGTCGATCTAGTTGTCTTACGCTAAATCTTAAAATTTCTGTGATGGTTTCCTTCCTTTTTGGTTTATGAAGCTTTTCTGCAACTCTTTTTTCAAAGTAAAATACTGAAGCTTCCTAAAAAAGAGAATAAATATTATTGAAAAAAATACCGTAGACAATGTATAAATATATAATTATTGTAAATCGTTAAGAAACAGTCAATTCTTTCAAAATAATTTCTTAACAAGATTTTAGCATTGATACATAAATTTAACCCTGCTTTTAGCAATACAAGTTCCTACCTGAACTTTTTCGTTGATTTAAGAATTGCTATGGTTTGATTAAACCATAAATTCGAATTACTAGTGTGTGACACATTTTTTTAAAAATTGACATTTGCTATAATGACATGGTAAATATTTAATGACATGGTAATAATTTGTTATAATGGCATTTTATATTCCTCCAATTGAGATAATAGTAGGCAATTTTATTGTGCAGTGAGGAAAAAGTATATTCAAAACTACCAGAATATGGTAAGATTTCAAAACCGCGAACCTCAAAAACCACGGTAAATTTTCCGAAGTGCCTTGACAATGACTTTTGATAAATTTAGTAATAAAATATAATTTTATGATATGTAATAACATTCGGAAAAAGGGTTAAAATTTCGCAATTTTATCATATTTTAGAGCATGGCATAAAATTCATTGATCGGTTAAATTGACACTTGTATTTTTATGAAATTTGTGGCAATAAGAATTATAATTTTGAAAACTTGAATTTCTGGTAAACCGTGACCATAAGAACGAAAAAATTACGAAATGCATGGTTTTAATGCCATATATTTTGGTTTTATTACCCAGAATCACGCTTTTTTTTAAATCAGAAATATCAATACCACACAGAACGGTAATTTTACCAAATTTCTCCGTATTTTGTTTTAGTCTAGTCAAAATCAAATATAATTTCAATATTTTTTTTAGAATTATTTAACGTCCTGATGCTAAATCTGCCATATCTGCTACCGGTCATGTTTTAATACCTTATATTAAATCAGACATGATAGTTAATTACAAAGATTTTAAATTTTTAATATTATTGATAATATTAAGGTTGTATAAAAAATCCTTTGTCTTGAATGTGTGAAAGTAATAGAGATTCTGGTAACATACTTTGCGTCGTGTCTGGCAAAAAAAAAAATTAAAATTGAAAAATGATTTCTTGTTTTGAAAATTACACATTATGTTAAATTATTTCTTTCCTCAATTTTCAAATAACATCAAATTATAAAAAGGACTCATATACTGATTCATTCATGCATTATTTTCCATTTTTTTGTTGCTATTATTAATAACATTAAACATGTCAATGTTCTGCGATATTGCAATGGTTATGAAATTATATTGCACTTGAATTTTTGTTCCTGTTTTTTTCGAAATTAAGTTTAAATAAACATCAAAACTAAAGCTATGGAAATTTGCAAAAAATTTTTTATTTATTACATATTAAAAATATATAAAATATATTTCAGCAACATCACCATCTCGTTTGAGTGATTCATGAAACTATGTTATTGGAAGAGAGTCTTATGGAACTATTTAATTCTGTTAAAATTAATCAGTTGTTAGATATTCTGATCTTATTTGATCTTTGCATCTACCTCTATTCAATTTTAATGAAAAATAAGAACGATAATAAAAATGCATGTCTGCTGCATTTAATATTTATAATTGCTTACATAATTTAATGAGCATCGATATGAACTAAAATTTTTTTTTCGAAGTTAATGATGGCATAGCTTACAAAGCATTCAATTAAAATAAAAAAAAGGTCAAACGCAAAGCGAAAATTGCTTTCAAATAAATCCTGGAAATAAATTAGCAATAGGATAGTTGTTTTTTAAGGAATTAAAGTCAATTCATTTATCGCATTAAAATTTCAAATCTCATTACGATGACTAATAATCTTTTCCATAAAACATTTTTCTAATAAGAGAGTTAATTAAGACTTTTTTTTTATGCAGCATTTAAGACGCTTGTACTTTTCATTAGAAATTCAGTATAGCACAAACAGATTAATTAGTTTTAACGTTTGTAAAGAAGTATATGTTCGTCATTTAAGGAAAAAAAGTTATCAATTATTTAATCAGTTCTATCAAAGAAATACATCTCACAATTATTTAATCCTTGAATAGAGAAGAATAATAAAATTAGATACAAACATATACAAATAGAGTAATTTGGGTATTCTGATCTTTCTAAACATATAAAAGCCTTTTCTAACAGTATTTACTCACTTTAAAAGCCTTTTCTTTTTAAAAACAAAATGAAATGTTCTTTTTTCAGGAAAATTTCAGAAAAATGTTCTATTTAGTGCATATTATAAAAAGTATGAGTAAAACTGTAAATTAGGGGAGAAAATGGTAAAAGCTTGTATATCTAATGCTTTGCGTAAGCAATAAAATAGCTGTATAATCGAGTAAACTGAAGCAATATATTTTGTTGGTAGTTTCATTTAAAAGTATATTTTATAAGCAGCTAGATTTAAAAAAAACTATTTTGTAGGGAGTTATAAATAAAAATCAATTTCATAAGAGCTTACATTAGAAAAAAATATTTAATGAAATTTAAAGTTGTATTGCGTATAGATTTTTTTAATCTGTTTTTATCTATCTGTTGTATCAATTGCTTTGATTCTTGATTCATCAAAATTGTAAATGACACTCATTTAAACTATACCGTAACAATTAGGAATTTTGCACTTTAGTTTTGCTTTCGGCACCATTTAGTATTATATTTGTTGCACTGTTTGTTTTGTTATTTTTGATATTACTATATATATTGTTACAACTATATATAATTTTGTTTTAACTATTTATTATGTTAAATTTTGAATTCAGTAACTTAATGGCGCAAAATGTAGTGTAATTTTTTTCTGAGGTTTTATTACGGCTTCATATAATTATAATTGAGTCGTATGAAAACTTTCTCAATTTTGGGGAAATTTACAGTTTTACACTAATTTGCACATACTGCACATTGTGAGCAAAAAATTGTTCCTAAATATTAATATTTCTAGAGCCTAAATATGATAAATAGTTAGAACAGACCCTATTTTAACACTGAACATACCATAACAGGTCAAATGACCGTTTAAGAACTTTTGCATCGAAAATGAGCTTGTCATCTTATTGTTTTTGCACATTTGACTTCATGACTTTTTCGAACAATTATATACAGTTAATATTCTATTAACATTTTTTCGTATTTTGTTTGTTTCGAATAATACTAGTCGTATACCTATTTCTACCACAATCAGTCATTAGGCCGGGAGAACAATTTATTGCTTTATAAGGTTATTGGATCAGAAATTACGATGTAATGCGTGTTCAACGTGTTGCATTCGATTATAGTTGCACATTTCTGCAAAGACTGTTGCGTAGTTAGTTCAATCAGAATAACTGTAAATTCAAATTTCAAGAAAGTACCTAAAATTTTAGATTGGCTTTTTTGTGTAAGAAAAAGTGGCTTATATTTTATTTTGATATCTTTACTTCATTTCTAAGTAACTGTTAGTTTTTATCCAGAAAAATGTCGAAACAATCAAGACAGCACACGTTCTTAGAAGAAATAATATTAATTATAAGAATAATTATAAGAATTTTAATTCTTATATATTCCTGTAATTATTAGAATAATTATAGGAATAATAGAAATAATAGTAATTAGAAGAAATATTTTTGCGGAAAATGTATAGTGGAAACACCCTGTGTATGTAAAAAATGCGTTGAGAGATGAATTAAAAATTCTTATTCTTTGTGTTTGTAATACATAAAAATTGGCAATATACAATTTTGTTTAATTATAATAAAGTTTTCTTAGATTATTTCCTTCATAACATTCATATTTCATGCATTCAATATAGAAACATAAAGTCCGGTTATTTGTCCGGCTATGGTAGAAATAGGTATAGTGTTGGTATGTTTAGTGCTGAATTATGAAATCAGATCAGTGTTAAATTACGAAAACATACTTTCTCTGAATAAATATATATTTTTCAATTAATTTGGATACTAGATTTTCAAAGATATCTGGTAACTATATCCCTAATGAATTAAGCAGGAGAGCATCTTAAAGTTTGAGCTCTTTAAAACTCCATTTTCCAGACTGCGGCTATTCCCTATATTATTAGGAATGAAAATCTAAATCAGTTCAATAAAACGTATGTTTATTCAGAGAAAGTACGTTTATGTGTCTGATTTTAAAATTTGAAAGATCTTCAGCAAAAATTAATGTTCGTAATTAAACTTTGGTATTTCATAAAAGATTAAGTCCGAGTACAGGAAAATAAGATCATTACATCAAAAGTTATTAAAGGAGTTCGCTTTTTATTTTACTTATTGTACTTAGCAATAAGTTTCTTGAAGAAAAAAGCATTTAAAAAGCAATCATGTTAAAACATTTTAATTAAGCGACAGTGCACCTCCTCATACTAATCAATAAAGAAAGCAAAATGAAAAACTTCTAAGTTGAATGCTTTTCTTTAAATGAATGCTCCGTTGTATAATTTCTTATAGTTTATGTAGTTCGCCTAGGAATTGATATAATCCAAATTGCGTAAGTCACTTATTAAGTCGGACTAAACAATATAAGATACTTTAAATAAAAATATAGTTTTTTTAAGAAAGCTTTTATTTTTACATTCGTATTCAAATAAAATAAATGTTTTGCTCACATTCAAGGAGTTATTAATTCTAAATTTTAACTTACAAGTTTGTGAATAGAAATCAGAATGTTACGAATTATTCAGATGTCAAATATTAAATAATATGATAACAAGTCTTAATTGTAATGCATGAGAAAATAATATGTGCAAATGAGATGCAAGTTTGCTACAATTTAATCAGATTTTCCAAAGTTTGCGGACGTTTCTGAAATTCTCTACGTTTAATTTATGTATGAGTTATAAAATTTGACATTAACAAATATGTTTCTTCATTTTTGTATCAAAGCTGATATAGAGGCTCGTCTGGGATTTGGAGACGTTACGAATGCCTGAAACGTATGAATAAAGCAAACAAAATCATATTAACACATTTGTATTAGGTATCTTGGATTCCACGGTAATTAATT